CCAGGAGGGAACAAGCAGGCATCTGGCTTTGTAGCTTACTTCTGCACCCCTCTCCCCTTTCTGGAAGGAGGCAGAACTGGATGATCCCACCTGCCATTTGGTCTCTGCTTTTCTGGGCGCTTGTCGCCATCCAGACTGATTTGGTGAGGGCCAGGATATATAGCTTGTCACAGGTGTGAGACGGGGCGGGGTGGGGGGTGCCAAACTCCACCACTTAATAGCTGTGTGACCTTGGGTTGGTCATTTCACTTCTCTCTGCTGCAGTTTTTCCATCTGTAAAATGGCAGTGATAATCATATTAATGGTATCAGCCTCCTTTCATTGTTGGGAGGAGCTGATGGTGATGCAGTGTAATGCCTGGCACATAGTAAGTGCTCAGTTAGCAGTGGTGATGGTGGTGATGGTGGTGGTGGTCTTCGGTCAGGTTCCCTAGAAGCAGAGACTGACATGAGCATTCTGGTGCAGTGATTCATTGAGGGAAAGCTCTCAAGCGAAACCCATAAGGAAGAAAGGGCAACAACTGGGACAGGGGACAAAGCTAAGTACAGATGTGGTTTCAGCTGAGCCCCAGCCTCAGCCCAGTCCCATGGGCACCCCCAGAGTGTGAATTGCATCACTGAGTTGGTGGTGCCTTGAGGCAAGGAGACCTGGGTGTTGTGTTCTGTATTGGTCAGTCATTGGCCGTGGGCATCTCGGCATAGCCTTCAGTAAGGGCAGTTTCCAGAGGAGGGTGGAGCTCTGAACCTTTTGTAACCAGCATTCACGGCAGCTGAAGGGTGTGTGTGCACCTTCTAGAAAAGGGGATCTTAATCAGGGGCGGTACCCGCTGCATCGATGAAAATGATGAGTTCAATGACTTCATCCCTGAAAACCAGAGAAGTCAAGTCACTTGCTCACTGTCACACAGCTAGTAAGAGCTATAGCTAGGTCTCCAAACCCTTAATCATGACGCTATACTTATTTAGCAAGGACGGGGTGGGTCTAGAATAAGGGAAGTGAGGTGCTCACATAGGGCACAAAATTGGGGGACATCAAGAAAAGTCACTGATCACTATAAATAATATTTTAATTGTGTTAAAGAAATTAAAATTAATGCAAAAATTTATGATGAGAAAGGAACCAGAACTATAAATAAAAACAGGATTAGTGTTACTTATTTTTTTCCTTTTGACTCTGGCCCAATATGGCTTGCCCCACACTGAGCAAGTCCCTTTTTGAACAATTAGGTTCTTACACCTTTTCATCATTATCTATGTGACTGTGACAAACATTCTTAGAGCAAAATGTTTGTATATTATTATTGTTATTTCCAAAGGAATTCCTGTTTGTGGAACTGGATCACTAACTATAGGGTCAAAAGTTAGACACAGCGCCCCCCTCCCCTTTTTATTATGAAAATGTTCAAACATATAGAAAAATTACATAGGAAAACACCCATCAGCTAGATTCTATGAAATTTGCTATGTGGCCAGGCACAGTGGCTCACGCCTGTAATCCCAGCACTTTGGGAGGCCAACGGGGGCAGATCACAAGGTGGGGAGATTGAGACCATCCTGGCTAACACGGTGAAACCGCCACCCCCCTGACCAGGTGTCTCACAGGAAACTTAAAAATACAAAAAAAATTAGCCGAGTGTGGTGGTGGGCGCCTGTAGTCCCAGCTACTCGGGAGACTGAGGCAGGAGAATGGCATGAACCCAGGAGGCGGAGCTTGCAGCGAGGCGAGATCGCACCGCTGCACTCCAGCCTGGATGACAGAGCGAGACTGCATCTCAAAAAAAAAATTTTTTTTTTTGCTATGTGTGCTTTATTAAAATGTAGCCATCCATCCATGGCACTTTTTTTTGTTTTGTTTTGTTTTTGAGACAGGATCTCACTCTGCTGCCCGGACTGGAGTGCAGTGGTGTGATCACAGCTCCCTGCAACCTTAACTACCCAGGCTGAAGCAATCCTTCTACATTAGCCTCCAGAGTAGTTGGGACTATAGGGTTCAAACAATCCTCCCACCTCAGGCTCCCAAAGAGCTGGGATTACAGGTGTGAGCCACAGCACCCAGCACTCCCATTTGTGTGTGTGTATTTCAAAATAAATTATTGGCTGGGCGTGGTGGCTCATGCCTGTAATCCCAGCACTTTGGGAGGCTGAGGCGGGCAGATCACGAGGTTAGGAGTTCAAGACCAGCCTGGGCAACATGGTGAAACCCTGTCTCTACTAAAAATACTAAAAATTCAAAAATTAGCCAGGCGTGGTGGCGGGCGCCTGTAATCCCAAGCTACTCAGGAGGCTGAGGCAGGAGCATTGCATGAGCCCAGGAGGCAGAGGTTGCAGTGAGCTGAGATCGTGCCACTTGCATGCCAGGCTGGGCGATAGAGCGAGACTTTATCTCAAAAAAAAAAAAA